TCTAAGATTCGGAGGCTTATTAGCCATGGCTAGTTTAATGTTAACTAATATTGATAGAAGAGATACTTTTAAATAACACCTTTACCCATCACTAGTTTTTTTTTTTTTTTTGGAAAAATTTGTAAGATAGATTAGTATTTTTGAAAATTGATTTGCTTTGGTCAATCATCCCTGATTTATTATAGAATAGATGCTTTGGGGGGACTTTTTGAGATAGAGTCTCCCTACATAGGTCTGGCTGTCCCGGAACTATATAGACCAGGCTGAACTTGAACTCACACACAGAGAGATACCTGTCTCCTTAGTGCTGGGATTAAAGACATGTGCACCACCACACCTGGCCTAATAGACACTACTAAAAAACCTTACACATATGTATTCTATGTGTATGAGTGTTTGCCTGTATGCTTGTCTGTGCATCACCTGCATACCAGAGGTGCCTGCAGAGGTCAGGAAGTAGCATCAGATCCCCTATAACTAGAGTTACAGATGGTTGTGGGTTCTGGGAATCGAACCCAGGTCCTTCTAAGAACAAGTGCTCTTAACTTCTGAACCATCTCTCCAGCCCTCCAGATACTAACAGGGTTTGTGGAAGGCCAGGCACGGTGGTGTGGGCCTGTGATCCCAGCACTCAGGAGGCCGGACTGCAATCCCCAGTCTAGCCTGGAGTACATAGTACAACATAGGCCAGCGAGCCTGTCTCAAAGCAGATTCACAGGGTATAAACAGTAACTCTTCCTCAAAGCATTTTCATTTGTTTCTGCCTGCTGCATGAGGGTTCCTCACGCAGAAATATATAGCCAGTGCCAGAGTCGGAGCGTTTCCTAGCCCAACCAGAGAGCGTGAAGTCATCATTTTCAGCCCTTTGAGGTCACAACTCTACATTTATGGCAGGTCTCTCCTTGTCACAACTTCTGTCTGAGGCTCTTTCCATAACATGTCCATGTCTCAGCAACGTTTCAGACCAGCTGATGACCCCAGACAAAAGAACCTGCAAACACTGGGGTTGGCGACAGGAATTCCCTTTCTCCGACGTCTTGCCCTGGCGATTCCTCACTACTTTATCAGCTTTTCAGTATCTGGAAAGCAATATTGCTTCACTGTATTACTTTCCTGGGGAGGTTTGTTCAAATGACCTAACCCACTGTTGGGAACAGACACACGGGGCCCTGACTCCCTTTGCCTGATCCAGCAAGTCTCGATTGGCTCTGACATATTATAGAAAACATGGTGACACAACTTATACTTTGGGAAGGAACTGTCGTAGGGTATTATTACTTTAACTGTGTAAAGAAGTGTTATATTTGTTTATGCTGCACTTGTTTAACAGTGGAAAGATGTGTTGCTTTGCTTGCCTAAGGACCCTGATTAGTCTAATAAAAAGCTGAAACAGCCAATGGTAGTAGAGGGCTAGGTGGGGCAGGCTGGCAGAGAGGAGAGAACAGGAGGACAGAATGAGGAAGAAAAAAAGGGAGGAACCCAGGGCCAGCCAGCCAGCTAGGCAGCCACCAGTCAGCCAGGCATGGAATGGGACACACAGAATGAAAGAAAGGTAAAAAAGCCCCAAGGCAAAATGTAGATGAGGAGAGACAGGTTAAGTTAAAAAGCGAGTCAGAAACAAGCCTAAGCTAAGACTGAGCATTATAACTAATAATAAGTCTCTGTGTCACGATTCGGGAGCTGGTTGGTGACCCAAAAGAAAGCCTCCTACAAGAAACTGTGACAAAATGCAAGTGCCCCCACTGTCTTTTTCTTCCTCCTCGAAAGGAAGCTTCTGATTTATTATCGATGCCATCATTAATCTGAAAAAAAAAATCACACTCTTTACTGTGTCAGTACCTCACCACAGGGCACAATCTTTTATCCAAAGAGAATTTTATTGATGAAAAGGTCACACAAAAAATTCTTTTGTACAAAGTTTACAAATGTGGAAAAGTTAGTATTTACGACATTTTTTCCATACAGTACATGATAATTCTAATTTAAACTTTAGCAGAAGATCCAACAGGCCCAAAGAATCCAAGAAGACGTTGCTCATGAACTAATACTTAATAGGAAACAAAATTAAAGAAATTTCCTTAGTGTTTTCAAGTGTGCTGTTCAAACTACGTTTGTTTATTCATTTATTCATTCCCCCATCTGTTTCACTATGGAGGTCAGCACTCGTCCTTTTGATGTTTAGTTGCAGACATGAATTTTGCATAGCATCTGAAAAAGATACAATGTGTCTGTAGTATTCTCAAAAATATTTAAGTTTAAATTTTAAAAAAGAATGAAAGCTTGGGTGTGGTGGCTCAAGCCTTCAATCCTAGCACTTGGGAGACAGAGGCAGGCTGCACTCTGTGAGTTCAAGACCATCCTGATCTACTGAGTTCCCTCCCAGACAGCTGGGAAGAGCTACATAGTAAGATCCTGTCTCAAAAAGAAAAATTTTTTAAAAAGTACAAACAACTATAAATGGCCGCAAATTTAATTCAATCTTGAGCGGGTCATGAAACTTTAAAAAATAAGAAAGGACCTAAATAGCTTGGCGTAATTTATAAACGACTCGCATTCCGCCTGCCAATTTACGACGAAGAAGGCAGGAGACAGGGCAATCAGGGAGGATTCTGTCTCCACAGGCTTCTCCCTTCAGAGCCCTGTGGGATCTTCTGACATCGACATGAGTAAAAGTCACACATATAGAGGTCAGGTGGAGTGGCTTCGACAGCAGAATGCTTCTTCCAATCCTTTCAGTAGCACCTGTCCTCCAAACTACAAAAAACGCTGTTTTACAAGTTTCTTAAAAATTCAGTGTAACAGCTACCATAGTGGCAAAGTAGCTAAAATTAGTTATTAGAGTAACATCATAAAAATATTTGAATCAATTTCCAGGATTTTCAAAAATGTTCAAATACAGGAGTGTATTTTCATGTGTGTGTGTGTGTGTGTGTGTGTGTGTGTGTGTATAAAGGTTCAGTGTTAAGTTTTAAATACTTCAGCAAGGAAAAAATCCTGGTTTTATATCAAAAGAGTGAAACAGCACAAAATATCTTAAAATACTTTGATGAAAGAATCTTCATTATAAATAGAAGGAAGATTCCTCTAATGCCCCCTCCCCAACAGTTTAAAAATATTATTAACCAGGATATTTCTGCTTTTTTCAGGTATAAATGCATTGTATTGCTCTTGAAATCTGTTTCTCCCCCTAGAATAACAGTAGACAAAAAGCCAGGCGGTGGAGGTGTATACCTTTAATCCCAGAACTAAGGCAGGTGGGACTTTCTGGTCTACAGAACTGAGTTCCAGGACAGCCAGGGCTACAAAGAGAAACCCTGTCTTGAAAACACACACACACACACACACACTAGACAAGGCTGGTTTGAGTGCAAAAGAAGAGTGTTAACAGCGATTTTTCTCTTTGCAGTGCTGGGCGATGATCCCAGGTCCTCAAGTATTCCGGGTGAGTGACCACTGGGCTACTCTCCCAGCTCAACAATGTTTTTAAAAGACAAATGCATTGTCGTCTCCAGTGTAATATGAATTTGCTTCTGGGGTAACAAGATAAAATGTCTCTTCATGTGTCCGGATGGCCGGCAGCACCCTGCTCTCTCCTAACTCCAGAAGCCGGGTGAGCGAGCAGAGAAGTGGAACCCTTGGGGCTGGCTGGGTCTGAAGAACTGGGGACCTGCAGTGAAGAACTGGGGACCTGCAGGCTGCTGCTCTTCACCAGGCCGGTTTCAGTGAGGTCACTCTTTGGACTTACCCTAGGAGAAAAGGAAGTTGACAGGCACACATACAGAAGCGGGGAAGGGAAGCCCACCACCCTCCCTGTGTACCCCTGAGCAGCTCTGACTTCTGTCAGAAGGCGATCCACTAAGCTCTTGGGTAACAAACACATCAGATCACAAACAGATTTTCTCAGAAACAACCTTTGCTGACTTCAGACACTCTACCCAGTGCTGTCCTGTATGGCCCAGCATGCTCTCACAGGGAACGCAGTCCCTCGGGCAGGTTCCTGCTCCCAGCTTCCTAATTCCCCAGCAGTGTTAAAACGCAGTGTGAGATTTTAGGCATACAAAGGTGACCAAGACAGCTCAAATCCAGCGGGGGTGGGGGCTGTGGAGGGGTTACAGTAGCTAGTTACAGCCAGGTAAATGGAAGCATCATGGGAACAAAGTATATTCAGCCCTGTCTGAAAGGGCTTAGGTAGCATGACCTTGAGAGCTGGCCGTAGTAGTTAGCTGTCATCATGGGGGGGGGCATACAAAACACAACCCTGTACTTCGGTCACTTTTGACCATTGGGAAAAATCCGCCATACTTTTCCATGTTCAGAAACGAAAAACATTTTATAATCATCTTTGTGTAAAATACCACCTTAGATACAGAATGATAGAATGTGTTTTGTTTCCCTGAAATCCATCTTTCTTTGTTTCTTTGTTTCTCTCTCTGTCTCTGTCTCTGTCTCTGTCTCTGTCTCTGTCTCTCTCTCTCTCTCTCTCTCTCTCTCTCTCGCTCTCTCTCTCTCTCTCTCCAGCCCAGGCTAGCCTTGGACTTGCTTGTATGTGACCCAGGCTATTTATTGGCTGCAACCAAACTTCCCTGGATTAAAAGCATAGGTCATAAAATGCCTTCGTCCCAGAAGTGGCATGCGCCAATAAAAGATGAGCAATGCTGTATTTCAAAGGACGGCAACTTCAGACAACACAGCTGTTCTCACCTTCCTTCGCTGGGGGTCCCTTCCGACACACCGCTTTTCCCCTTCA